CAGGCAGTGCTCTGTTGAGCTGGGCAGCTGCCATGTGGAAATCAGCCCTTGAGATGTTTATAAACTGTCAGCAAAGTAGGCATGGTATGTGGTGTGACAATTCTTCCAATAGTTTATTTCCATCTGTCTGTGTCATCTATTACAAAGCCTGTTAAAAATTACATTTCTATTCCTGCTGTGCCCACCTGGATCCACAGGTTGTGCACCAAAAAAAAAAAAAAAAAAAGTAGGAAATTTGAAAGAACATGGGAAGGAGTCAGTTTTCACATTTGTAGATACATTTCCATACAGTTGGGTCACTAGAGGCAAATAATGCTAATATTCTTGGGAGTTCAATGCCTTCTATTGTATCAGAAACACAGACATCTTAATGCCTGTTACATGCTACTGGGTTATTTGTAAATAAATAACTCCAGTTTTTAAGCAGCAGTGTACCATAAGCAAGGGAAGATGATGAAGTCCGATCAGGTTGTACTAAAGGAGTGACATACATAATCTGTCAAATCTGACTGTTTCCATATAAATGTGATGAGTCTATTTATTCTAGTTTTCACTGATTCTTTGAATAGGCAATTCAGCGCTTTAGTTGTCTTTTTGATCAATAATTTTTTTGCTGTTCAGGATAAAATGCAAGCTGAAATTTAACTGAAATTGGAGGAGACTGAGGTTTGACTGCAATGTCAGCATCTTATCAGGATGTGCTGTTGGGTAGGGCAAAAATTGACTGTGCATAAGTGAAGGCCTAAACTACTGAAAAATTGCAGCCTGCACATAATTTGTAAGGAATAGTGAAGCACTTCTTTAAATTCCTCAGTTTGTGTTAGTGTCAAGCATGCTCATCATTTTGGACAGGACTTACATTGCAACACATGGTTTTGATATGGAGTTCAGGACCAGCAATTTGGTTATGACAAAATACCACCAATAAAAGTTTCTATTGCCAAGTTAAGATGGGTTTTGCAATGAAAAATTATTAATATACTGCTGAAAATAGTAACTATGCAAATCATTTAGCTGTCACATGGATTATTAAACTTTGTCATTTAATAATAATGAATCAAGCTTTAAAGTAAAACCCTTAACTTAAAAGTAAAACCCTCGATCTAAATGTATATTATAGTCTTGACAACTTTGAAACAGAAGTCGAAAGGCTTTCTTAATAATGTTTTCACTTAGAAACCAAAGTAAGAAATGGTTTTTAGTTTTTGCAGGATGGTTACTGAAGGAGTAACACCACATCAGACCTCAGCTCTGGCACTGCCCCATGCCTGCACTCCAGTGGGGAGGCTTGGGTAGTGTGGTTGTTTCCAAGGAGCACAGTATTAAAAGTCTCCCTTGCCCAATAGTGATGGGAGGGAAATTGACAAAGGCAAGTAGCGGTAACCGCAGAGAGAAACAAAACTAGTTTTTTTAATTTACAGGTGGTTTATAGCTCCTGTTTCTGTGACTGAACATCCAAGTGATGTTGGTTGCCTGAGGCCAGGTTGTAAAGAGTTCTGTTGAAAGTAAGCTGAAGGTTGCTAATGGCTTAAGGGTGAAAATACACAGTGAATTGCATAGAAAAACAGCCTATTATCAAGTGGCTTGTATGAGTGATAATTCATCAAGTGCATGAAAAGGACAGAAATTTTACCAGGAGTTGATACTGGAGGCAATAAGTTGGCAAATTTGGAGGACAAGAAAAGCTGAACCATTTGAGAACAGCAAAGGATGGAGAAATGTGTAGTATTGGAAGCAAGCTGAAATAAAATGGTGTCAAAGTCTTACATTCTATCTGTCTGTGAGACAGGCCTAGACAAGTTGGACTAGATCTTCCACAGAATTTTTGCTGAAACATTCTGGACTTGAAGGACCACCACAAAACTCAAGTAGATAAAAGAATATTAAGGATCTATGAAAAAAAAGATAAAGTTACTGACAATATATGACAGAGCAGCTAACTAAGTGGAAAGATATATTGGAAATTTTCTTTGTTATCGCTGAACTATGAGTGCTGGTGAAGCAGAGCTTGAAATCAGAGGCATCCTGATCATTAATCAGTGCTTGCCAGGAAGTGAGAAACCTGATCATTCAAATGACTGTGGCCCTCAGCACTCCTCACATCAATGGCTGCTTGTGTAGGTGGTTGGATTTCCAGCAAAAGACACCATCCACTTCCAGACAGGGCAGATGTCTTAAGGGGAAATGGCTTCCAGAGACGTGGACAAATTAAAATAGAAAAACTCCATGTGGAGTAGGAGAAAGCTACTGGAGAAAGCCCACCAAGGAAAACTCTTGGCTTTCTCTCATGATCACCTGCTTCTAAAGCAGAAAAGATTCTTTACATATAGTCACTCTCAAGGGAAAGTGTAGAAAGAAGTTAGTATTATATCTGTTGAAAACTGAAGATGAGGAAGAGAATTAGTCTAAGCATTGGATTTGGTCTTCTGCTTTTTCTGGCCATTGGCTGAAGAACCTGAGCTGCTTCTGTCACCTGAGCGTTTGCTCTATGATTTTTGTCTTTCTGCACTTCCATTTGCATGCATGGGGCTGACAATTAATTGCGGCATATTGACGTATGAACTGTGTTTGAACTGGATGTGGATAAATTTGATGTGTAAGAATAGATTATCTGGTATCACAGTAAAAGTATGCGGCTATTTTTGGTTTTGGCTTTATATTACAGCTGTAGTCTGAGCTTGCAACCTTCTGTTGTCACTACTTAGGTCTGTAAAGAAAACTCAGCAATGTATGGCACATTACATTTGCTGAAACTGAGTAAAATCCTACAATTTCATAAATAGAAGACAAAAATACCTTTTTTCCTTTGGTACAGTCATGCACTTAGTCCATTAAAAGATTATTTAAAACCATCATGATGAAAACTGAGTTCAGTCTGGCATTGGAGAGTAGGGAATGAGGGAGGCTGTCCCTCTCCTGTGCTCTCAGCGTTTTCCACACTAAGGGTTGTAGAGGGTAAGGAGGCAGCTGCTGGTGCTGCCCGGTACTTGTGCACATCAGCACCCCTGCCATGTGCAGCGTGTGGAGCTGCTCCTGCCCTGCACAGAACCCCCCTCTGCAGCAGCTGAGCTGGAAATCCTGGGCAGGGAGGAAGGGAGGTGTGGTCATGCAAGGGAAGACCATGCAGCAGTGGAGGGGATGGAAATCAAATCTTATGTAAGCCCTTATTTGATGTTACATAATTTCTAGGGGCTGGATATTGGAACTTGGGTATTTTCAGGCTTTCTTGTTACTTCAGTGCATTACTTATAAGTCAGTTGTAATGAAAATTGAAGGTAACAGCATTTCAGTGATTCTCAGGCACTCAAAAAAAGGCTAATTGTAAATCTAAGAAGTTTTTTTTAAAAAAATCATTAAATCAGAATTCAATTTGTGTTGTTTATATGTCTTCTCCTAATTCTGTATGATCACATGCTGACTGTTTTGTCTTCCAGGCAGATTTTCTTGGTAATGTGTCATCTGTTTGTGTGTGAAGAAGTGTAAAGTGTCTAATTCTTTCTACTGTTTACGTTCATAGAATAGTAACTCTTGTTTTGTTCTTGAAGCAACTGCTAAAAGCCCCTCAGTGGAAGCACTAGAAACAATTAAATCATCAGTCCTAAATATGCATTAATGACGCGATACACCTTACAGAATACAGCAAAAATACAGTGGCAAGTATATTTCCTGTGAACTTAAAATTGCTTGCACCATTTTTGTAACTGCCAAAGTTTGACATCTACAAACAGAGATCTGTGGAGAGAGGAATATATTTTACTACATAAATATATCTATGTATAATATATTTATATATAATCAATATATAGATTAAATTTTTTGAATGATGAAAAGGAGGAATAAGTTGGAAGAGTTGACGTAGGAATTTCAGTTTATTGGTGCTGTTACTATCTGAGGACAATACAGCTTGGATATCTCCAATGTAAGATCAGCAATAAATTACAAGTATTTTAAAATCCAGTTTGCCAGCTCAAGAAGGCACCTGGATTTCTCTGAGCAAGTGCATGTGGTGTGGAAGTACCTCTGCTCAAGGCAGGAGAAGCTGCCACTTTGTTGGGCTGTATTTTGCTTGGCGGTTTGGGTTGTTGGAGGGGTCACCTCACAGATAGGTCTGCCCCTGTGAAACTGTAGCTGGCCAGGGAAGTGTAGCTGCCCAGGGAATGGATTTCACAAGAAAATCTAGGTCCTGTGCTTTGTTTTGCTTTCTGGGAAGGTGGAGTGGCTTGGTTCTGATGAGGTTTTGGGGTCTTCCCTCCAACCTTGCAATAGTTTGCTTAATAAACATCAGCACATTGTATTCCAGAGTGGCAGTGTCTTTGTTAAGGCACCTGTTTGCTTGGGAAGTCTTTGCTTGTGAGAAGAGGCAGACCAGAAGATATGGGAAGTGCTGGCAGAGACAACCTGGAGTTGCTCCTGGGTGTGTGTCCCTGCTCACTACTGCTGGATGGGCTCCTCGCAGAGATCCTGCTGCCATCACTTGCTCCCCTTTGCCTTCTGGCAGATGAGTTGGATCATAGCAAATTATTTTTACGCTCCTGAAAAAGCCATCATTTACAAATACAGCTTTTAAAGAATCCAGCATGTGGCTGTAGGAAGTGCTTTAGTTTTTTGGTTATGTTTAATCTGGAAAAATTCTGACTTTTTTCCCTGAAAATTTAGGAGGAAGGCAGCTAGGATTTCTTTTGCATAGCTGTGCGGCACAGATGTGTGTGCATTAAAGATATGTTGTTTATAATCTGGTTTCTGACATTCTAATTCAGATACCTTTTTGAATTAACATTAAAAAGTTGATAGCTTTATCAGATGGACAAAAATTGCTTATTTTCCTGGCTGGTCTTCAACATTTTTGAGAAATTAATGGCAGTTTCAGAATTTATGAAGGACAAAGAAATGGTATTCACTAATTCAAATAATTAATTAGAAGCAAATGCCTGTGGGTAGTGGGTTGTTTCCCATTTTAGGTGAATTAAAGGAAAATTTAATAATTGCTTTCAATTTTTCAGGCAGCTAACATCAAGCGTGAAATGACCTTCCATGCATTTCAACAGGAGGATGTAAAAAGTGACATCAGTCGAAAACTGCCAGACCAACAGTTTCTCCTGTTCACCACAAAGGAGGAAGATTTAAAAACAGCAGAGACCAAAAAACTTAACAGAGCTCATGAGTATGAAAAAGAAAACACTCGTTCTGTTTGTCTTCTGGAACAGAAGCGCAAGGTTGTTTCTTCAAATATTGATGTGCCTCCAGCAAGGTGAGTTTGGTTTTTTGGTTGTTTTTTGTTTTAAGCTTTATTCCTTTTTCTTCCCTGCCACTTTTTTTTAATGGGACATTAGATTTTAATGGACATTAGATGCAAGTTTGGTAAACAACACTATGAACTGCTAAGACTAGAGTTTGTGCCCAGGCAGTCCGAAGTCAATCACAACTTTCCTATTTCAGGGATCTGCTAGGAAATTAAAACACTAGTAGCAGAAAATGAGAGCATGTGCACAGTAGGGCTTGCTATTGCTTTTGCATTGTTTTTGCTTTTAAAATGTGCTGCAGCTGAGGTACTTGGAGAAGAGGATGTGTCTTAAGAGGAAGAGATTGTTGACTCAGCTTCACCCTGAGAAGTAATCTTCTAAATTAGTCACAGAATCATCTTACCTGCTACCAATTTATTTTTCAAATTTTTTACTGTCATACTTGCAGACACTTTATACTCATTGGGTATTCCGTGTTGCAAGATGACAAGTGCTTTTTCTTTTTCTTGTTCATGTTAGCATCAGTCTGTCTGTAAAGATTTCTGCTTAATCTGCCTGGTAAATTTACTTGCACGTAATTCAGTAAAAGGCCTTTCAAGTTTATGATACTACTTTAAAAAATTGTAGTCAAAACAGATGCTTAGTTTTTCAGTTTGTTGGCTTTCTGAAAACCAACATTACCAGCAGGTTCTACTATATCATCCAGAACAAGATGACTTGATGTTTTTCTCTGGCTGTCATAGAAGTGACTTGCACTGAGTCCATGAGCATTTTTACAGGATTTTACCCCCATATATATGTAGTAAAAGGCTATATATAATAACCTTGAAATGTTAGGATACTTATATGAGATTTTCACTAGTAATCAACCTTGTAATGTCTGAGTGCCCTTCTCATTCATCCTGTGTGTCTCAAAGCAAATAGGATCACAAGAACATATAGGTCAGGAGGGAACTCAGGAAGTCACCTAGTCTAACCTTCTGCTCAAACCATATGTTAGCATTTCCATTTAACAACTCAGGCCGCTAAGGTACAGGGTTTAAGGGCATTTTTGTGTGACTTCATGCAGATAATCTACCTGAAGAAGTAGTCGAGCCCCCATTTTCTATAGCTCCAGGATCCTCCTTCCTTGGAGGGATGGATATTTTTTCCCCAATGAGCTGGAAAAGAGGATGAATAAACATCTTTATTGCCTTCTTAAGGCTAATTATGACACTAGTTGTGAGGACAGGATACTTAAGATGATAGTAAATAAGTTCATTTACAAAGGTGTCATCTAAAGTTGCTCTTTCCATCTGCATGTATTTTATTAGGAGCATAAAAATTACTTTGTAATGTTGTTGTGTGTTTTCAGACATGCAGGTTGAGCTCCAGCATTAGCAGAATTAAAGAATGAATCAGGAAAGAAACCTGGAATTTATGTTCAGTAGCGTAATAAATATTTTTGTCTTTCTTGATACATATTTCCAGTCAAGTTCAACTTTTACTTTGAAGCTGAGGTGAATTATTGGGCCATTTGTCTGCAGCTGACAGGAAGAACACTTAAACCTTTGCTTGGAGACCTTCCTAAATATTTGCTGTTATAATTGAATGTTGTAATGAACCCAGCCTCTCCTCCTAGGCAGCACAGTTTCATCTCTAAGTCATGTTCTCTAAGAAGACTCAATGCATTTCTTGCCTCTTTCTAGGCTCCTTTCAGCTTCTGTCTAGGACTGTGCTGAGAGAGCTGCATGTTCCTCAGAGGTGAATTCCTCATTCCTTTGCCTCCTGGCAGGACTTGTTGGGTCGACTGTCCTCTCTTCTGATGAGAAAATTCACCTGCCTTTGCAGATTTGTTATACCCAGCTGTGGAAGGTCGTCTTGAATTTATCAGATAATGTTTGCAATTAGGAGGGACAAATAAGGGATTTAATATGGTCTTAATTTCTTATTGCTACATATACCCTCTTTACAAATAAACCCCACATTTTTTATTTTGTAAAGAGGGCATATATAGTAATAAGTGAAAGTGAAGCTTGTTATTTATTTTGTTTTAAAACCTTAGTGGAACTGAGTGGAACCCATTTCACTTCAGATGCTGAAGTGAAAGATAACATTACATTTTGCAGTATCCAACTAAACCCATTGCAATATTTAAGTGATTTTGAGTCATTACAATATTTAAAAGATTTTGAAGTCAAAGCTTTGGATCATTATTAGCCAAGGGCATATGAGTATGTCCAAAGGAGCTCTGAAAAAGTGTTTGCAAAAGAGATATTAAGAGGTGGATAAATTTACTTCACTTTTTCCACAAAATGAAACAAAGGCCATCCCTTCTTAGTTGTTTTAAGGATCTCATCGAATAAGAATGGAAATCTTTGTGAGGCACTGTATCTAAAGTAACTAGCAGTTCAGCAAAACACTAGCATAATATTTCTTGGAGGCATTCAGCTTCAGGGCTTTCATTATTGCTTATGGACTCTGAAATTTTAGAAATTTTAAAATATCTTAACTGAGTCCTAGTGTTTTGTGTGTCTGGTAGTCAGATGCATGGAAATTATAGTAAAATAAATATTTCCTTGGATGCAGAATTTTTAAGTTCATTGCTTACATTTTGATTTAATCTTGTGAAAAATACTACAGACATTTCTCTCTATGTTATGTCCTGTACTAGAAGTGTCTTTTGGATTAAGACAGGGGGAGATCATGACTTTTTCATCCTGATTTTTATTTTTGGAATGCAAGAAATTAAATGACAGTTAACAGCATTAATTCTTTCCCTTCTCAGATTTCTTCAGCTGGTCAGTCATTTTGAACAAAAATTATCTGAGCTAAACTGTGTTCCTTCTTCTGAAATGCAGATAAGCATAAATGAAACTGTTCAGCTGGAGCAAATGAATTATTTGATATAATGAGGAAATTTGAATTCTTTATTTCTTCCTTTAAATATTGAATTTATTGTCAGTTTGATGCATAAAGAACTGCAGTCTTGGAAAAAGTGGTCTGGCTTTGAACTGCAGTTATCTCTGAGAATTGAGATGTTATCTGTAGAAGAGAGAAAAATACACTTTCAGTTGATCTCCAGTTCAAGCAGCAGCAATCAAACACAGCCAGATACATGGATCTGAGTGGTGAAAGGCCATTTTGTAAAAAGAGAGTGGTATCACTGTGGGACTAATCTCCTTGTCTGGTGGGCAGAAGCAAGCCCAGGTTTGCCAGTATTTCAGACAGCTATGTCTATAGAAGTCAAATGTAATCAGAGATGATGTTCCCAGTAGGCAGAGGTGTGGAAGTTAACAGGACCTTCTTGCTTATTTGTATTTTCTTCAGATACTTACCAAAAGATAGTTCCAAAGCATGTCAATAATAAAGACATGAAAGAACCTGGACTGCTGATACAGTAGGTGTGAGGATGTGAGGAGAGACCCAGTGCAGGCCACGTACATAGGGAATGGCTTCTACCTCTTGGAAGAATGAGGACAGAAGGGTGGGTGGTGGAGAGCAGGGGATGAAGTTTTTGGTTTTTTGTTGGGTTTTTTTTGAGTAAAATGTGAGAATAAATGTCTGAAAATGGTGGTGATGTTAAAGGCCTTTTTTGACTTTTGACCACTGGTAGCTGGAAGCCCTTCAGAACTTTAATGCAGTAGTGTCCGAGGAGGTCCTTTCGGGTGTTCTAGAAGGTACTAGGCATGCGTCACTTCTACCCCTCTGATAGGTAGGTGATTTGAATAAATCAACATATTTTCTTTTGTTAGTCTTCTGATAGATGAACTCAAAATATTGTGAAATTTGTCTTATCCTCTTGATACATCATCCTCGTTTTCCCCAGCCCTCCTGTACTCTGTTGTCTCTGAAGAAAAGAACAAAAGATAATTTTTCTAACTGCCTATCTTTTCTACATAGTTTGTGCTGCTAAAGGACAAGCCACAGCTAAACATCAGCTGCTTAAACACTTCCTTATAGTGTTAAAATAGTTATTGTGCAATAAACGCTAGCTGCTGTGCTCTTAGGTTTCACTGCTGTTAAGCAGTGACATTTACCATGACAATAATATATTGGATTTTGCTATCTTCTGATGCTTTTATATTAAAAAAGCTGTTCTGTTACTGTGAAATTAATTTTTATTCCTGTACCTATCTTTTATCTACTAATTAGTTTATAATTTAATGGAAAAATATATTAAATAATTGAAATAAAGTAATTAAATATCTCTAGGAATTCTCTCCAACATTGTCTCTTTAGGTCTTTGTAGAATAGCTACAGAAAGCTGTGGCAAAATGAATTTCAGCCATGTTTCCTGACCATCATTATAAAGAAATAGTACAGATGGTGATGTATTTTCATGCCTAAATGATTTTCTTGCCTGGCCTCTCCAGAAACATAGCTCTGGGCAGCCTTCTGATTAGAGTGTGTTGTTGATCTCTAAGGCCTGCTGGGCATGATTGATTATGCACCATGCATTCCAGTGGAAACATTTGCATATTTTCATAGCCAAAACTCTCCAGGAGCCTGACTTAAAGATCAAAAGCAGTATCTGCTTAACTATGATAACCTCACCGGAAGGACTTCCCAATCTGCTTGTAGAGGGAAGAACCTGCTGATCAAGTTGTGCTTTTCTGTTTATCCAGAGGTGGTGTTTATTCAGAGATTGTCTTCTATTATTTTTCTTCATCTGTTTTAGACTAGTCCTCAGTTTTCTGGGGGGAGCTTCTTTCCTGTATCTCTCACAATTCTTGCTGAGGGGATTGATGGGGCAGCCTCAGAGGGCATCAACTATTTGTTGGCTGCTGAGGATTTTCAGCTTAATTGAGTGAAAACAAAAGGCCAAGAAATCAGGCTGTGCTTTGGAGCTTCTGTGAGCTTCCGAGCACTCTAAATTTCCCTGCTAGCCCAATAGCTTTTCATGGAGGTGTGATACTTTCTCCTATTTTTTCACAATCCTGTAGGTTAGGTGCTCCTGTTTCTTAAGTTTCATTTTCTGTACTCATGCTACTTAGAAACTTTGGTAACAGTTGTTTTTATAACTAAA